GTCGTACGACCGCGCGCGGCAGGCGTCGCCGCAGCCGGCGGCGGCGACAGGGGTGCAGCAGCAGCAGCAGCAGCAGGGGCCGCAGCTGGTGCTTAAGGGTAGCGGCCCGCGGCGGTGGGGGCCGTCAGACTTTGCAGCGCCGAGCAGCAGCGGATCGGCGGTCGCGTCCGCCGGAACTGCGGCAGCGGGCCAGCAGCAGCAGCAACAGCCACAGCAGCAGCAGGCCCCTGCCGCGCGCGGCGCGTCGCCGGCGCTTGGCGGGCGGCAGCAGGCGGAGCGGAGCAAGCTCGCTGCGTCGCTCTTTGGGGACGGCGGTGGTGGTGGCGGCGGCGGCGGCGGCATCCGCCCGGCAGCGCAGCAGCAGCAGCAGCAGCAGCAGCAGCAGCAGCAGCAGCAGCAGCAGGTTTCCTTGATAGGGGACCTCCTAGGCGACGACGAGCCCGCGCCATCCGCCGCGCCGCCGCCGCCGGCGGGCGGCCGCGCTGGCGGCGGCGGCAGTGGCGGAGGCCTCGACCTTTTGGATTTCGGGGACTCGGCTCCGAGTCCGGCCCCGGCGGCGGCGAGCGGCGGCGGGGCCGGCGGCGGGTTTGGCGGCCTGGACGATTTGCTGGGGGGCCCCGTTGGCGGCGGCGGTGGCGGTGGGTTGGACAACGGTCTCCTTGGGGGGCTGGGCAGCTTGACCTCATCGCCGCAGCCGACGCAGCAGCAGCAGCAGCAGCAGCAGGCAGCGGTGCCGGCACAGGCGCATGCGCAGGCGGCGTCGCGGCCGCTGATGCCGGGGGCTATGGCGGCGAAGGGGTCCGCAGGTGGTGCCGCCAAGGGGCTTGGCGCCAAGACGCCCCTGGACCCTTTCGGCGACCTGCTGGGCTAGGCCGCAGCTGCCGGGCAGCTGCTACTATTAGTTGTGGCGTGCTCGGTCGACGATTGCAGCGGCGCCGTGACCAGCCTGTGGCCTGCAACCACCCTTGGGACTCGCCTGCGCGGCCGCAGCGGCGCCCCTGCGCCGCACACCGTGCGCAGCGCACGCGCAGCTTTTGGTCTTCGCCCAAACGCGCGGCCCCTCCCCCCCAATCCGGCCATCGACCTGCCTGCATGCCCCATTGGCCTGGGAGCTGTAACGACGCTGGCAGGGGTGGTGCAGAAATCGGTGGTCCGCTTCCTCTGTTGAGCCAGGGTGTGCCTAACGTTGTCAGCACAACTGTCCTAGAATCTACAGGCAGCGCAGGGCCATACACGGGAGGGGCCACAGCGTCGCGCGCCCTGGAAGCTTCCGGGTCATTCCTGTCTCGACACCACCGAACTCGACAGCAGAGAGACCCCACAGATAGATACGCCCCGCCTCACACAACCCACTGGCCCCCTGAGCCCCCTGCTTCTCGAGTGTGCAGGTCATCCTGCCTGCAGATCCATGATGCGAGCTTTACACCGGGGTGTGCATGGTGTCGAGCGGGTGGGGGCACTAGGAAGTCAGGTGCCATGACCCGGCTGTGCAAGAGACCTGCCAGGTGCGAACAAAGCTGGGTGTATAGCAAGGTGGTGGACCTGTCACAAGACATGTTAGCAAGTGCTTGCACAAAAACACATCATCTGGGGCATCAAGGGGTGTGGGTGTGCATGCGCACGCATGTGTGCGGATGTGCCTACAAAGACTACCAGGGCAACGTGCTGCCATTTGCCTGCATGCATTCACAACGACCAGCACTGGACACGGCAAGTCCCTGTGCTGGTCGCATCCGAATCCTGGAGACCCTTTAATTCTCACGGGGGCAGCATCACAATCCGGCACGGGGGCGGCATCCCAACCCGGCATGGGAGCAGCATCATAATCCGGCATGGGGGAACAACAAAACCTAGCAGCACAAAAAGGAGCCGACAGCAGCGGGCTGACAGAGGATTGATTTCATTGAATCTGCGGTAGCGGCCGGCAGGGTGCAGCTGACGTGCCGGTGAAGCAGGTGATGGTGTCCGGCGGTGATGTGGGCGTGAAGAGACGCAGTCATGCAAGATTGCCGACCTTCTAGTAGGATAGGATCGCAGGTCGCGTTGGTATCGATAGACGGCGGGGACGCGGTCGAGAGGCCCACCATAAGAGCCAGCAATGATCCGAAACCCTAACTCGGCTGAGTGCTCTCTCTTGGCACACAGGCCGAGCCTATATTCAGTGCCGTGCGTGCGATTGTCGGAGCAACACCGGGTCGCGAGTTGCAAAACTGTTGAGCCTAGGGGCATGAGGAATAGGCGCCGATGACGGCGCTGCATCACAGCTACCGGGTGGGTAAGTGGGCAAGTGGGGAACATGTGACGCCACTGACAGGCCCATAGATAACGCGTCAGCCGCAACAAGCCACATGCCGGGTGGCAAGTCCAGGCCGTGACGTCATACGCATGCATTCATAAGGACCCCTTGAGGGTGTCAGAGCAAAGCCTGCAGAGCGTGCAGCGACCGACAAAACAGAGTGGTCACGGCGCAGTGAAAGGAGGATAGAGATGCGGAGATGCATTCGTGGCCGGCTCATCAGCAGCCCGTGGGGCGCGTGGTGTTGTTGAAAGTGTATGCAGGGTTACAGGCAGTCACCCAGGTGAACCGGCTGGACGGGCTGCAGCTGCCGCCCGCCGCCGGCGTGACGACCACCTTGGCCCGGCTGGTGCGGCACCTGCCACACGTCATCGCGGGCACAGAGCAGGCTGAAGATGACGCGCACGAGTTGCAGTTGCCGGACGGCGCCAGGGAGCCCTGCCAGTGGGCTAGCTGGGCGTCGTTGGCGTTGGTGGGGGTGGCGCCCGCGAGGCCGGAGGCGAAGGTGCTGGCTGCGTCGGTCTGGTTGAAGCTCATGAGAGCGCTGAAGGAGGTGGAGGCGGTGCCTGAGTTAGCTGCGGGGGGGGGGGGGGGGGGGGAAACGGGGTCGCACAGGGGAACGGACGGAGTTGGGACGCGCGGGCTGGTTGGGTCACTAGGTGGGGATGGGCACTCACGACAAGAGATGGGTGAGCGGGGAGTTGAAATTAAATGAAAATTTGGTCGCTGGCCTTGCCGCGGCCGGCGCGGCCGGCGCTACGCTGTCACACCGGTCTTGATGAAGGGGCATGCAGCACACAGTCACGGACGCACGCCCAAATGCACGCACGTGCGCACCGGTCAGCGCCCATCCCCTTTCTCCCCTCGACGGCGGGGCGCGGAGCTCGCATCTCACCCCAGGCAAAGTCGGATTGGATGCTATGCGGCGTCACCCCGTCCCGCGTCAGCAGGAACCTCTTGCCGAAGCCCTGGGCGTTGTTCCAGCTGCCGCCGGTCGAGGACACCGTGTTGGAGTGCCTCGAAATGTTATAGGTGACGTCAGCGCTCAGGGTCGCCGTCACGCTGGTGCCGTCCGGCTGCCGGATGACGGCGCTGAAGGTGCGGGCGGCACGCAGCACGCGAGGTGCTGCGAGCGTGCCGGAAGAGCCGATGAGGGCGATGGGTGAGAGGCTGGGGGTGGTCACGGTCTCGGAGGCCTGGGTGAGTGACGAGAGTGTGGGGTCTGACCAGAGCAGGAGGTTTGCTGAAATGTACCTGCGGGGGATGGGCAAGGGCAGTGACAGCGCATATGGGGGCAGGGAGGGGGGCGCGTTATATATGAGTCTGAGCTCTGGGGTCGCGAGGGCCCAGAGTGGAGGCCTCCCTAGGGGGGTGGAAACGAGCAGCGTCCGCTGCATTCGCCGAAGGTCACACAGGCAGCTGCCTGCCTGCCACGCGGCGGGGGCAGCCGGGCTTCGCGTATGGCCCCGCGCGCTCCGCTCCAGGCCGCGGCAACCCCTCCCCCCCCTTATGTAAGCAGTCCGACCGCCTGCAGGGGCCAGGCGTGCAGCCGCGGACTCCTATCTGCTCCCCTGCTCCCCTGCTCCCCTGCTCCCCTGCTCCCGGGCTCCCCTGCTCCCCTGCTCCCGGGCTCCCGGGCTCTGGTGGTCCTGAGCCTCTTACCAGAAGGTCGCAAACTCGTTGCCGATCTGGAATGAGATGGTGTGGTCTCCGCCGTCGTTCAGATGGTGGACCTGGGGATGGGGTGGGGGGGTGGAGCGGTGGCCGCAGGTTGTTTGTTCAGCGTAAGGGGGGATGCGTCAGGAGCCAGCAACTGCCGCCTCCACCGGGTTGTTGCGGTCCCAAGGTGCCTCAAAGCAGATGAACAGCAAGGCGCCGTTTGAATCTTTTTAAAATCCTGACGCGGAGGCGCGCGAGCATCTTCATGCATGGGTGTGCATTCGTGCGGGCAAGCCTGCATGTGCAAGTGCGGGCGCGTTGTGAACGCCCCGCTCGCTCCCGGTCATTGCGCTTTGATGGAGGTTTATGGCGTGCACCGCGACGCTCCATAAACCCACCCAGGGGGTTATGTCCAGCAGGTGGGGCGCTCCCATGTGGGCCGTGTGGCCGGCCATGGTCTTCCAGGTGGCGGGTGAGTAGCCGCCGGTGTACCCTGGGGCGTAGGGGGGTTGGATGATGCGGGGTTACGATGTGGGGTAATCACGAAGGCTGGGTGCCGCGGTCGGGGCTGAGGAGATATCAAGGCGACCTCATCCGCAGGGAGGGCCACAACCTCAGCAGTAATGGGCGCGGCCTGCTTTGGCCAAGCTTCACGAGTGCCTGACAAGAAAGACGGCTGGCGGAGGGGTCACGGGGTGCGCGCTCTCGGCAGTTTCAGAGTGCTTGCGCGGGGGCTCACAGGTGGGGTAGACGGACTGGAGCGCCACAGGTGCTCCGTCAATCAACACTTGCAGCTGTGGCGGGGCGAGGGTGTGAAGCGTCCGACGGGCAGCTCAAGCGACAGGCGGGTACAGCTTGTCAGCCATTGCACAGCTGACGCTTCGGCAAACCCTGGATGTTTAAACTTGAAAGCAAAATGGAAAGACGCGCATCGACCAGGCAAACCCTCGACATCAGTTATATCACAATTCTTGTTGCCAGGCAAGGCAGCTTCAGGTCACCTGCTGCAGACCCCAGGGGCACGTCCTCAGTAAGCCCCCACAGCAAACTGAACGGTGGCGGCTCGGCCCCAGGCCGCCCCCTCGCACCTCTCGGTACTGGTTGCTCATGATGGTGTTGGTGTCGCTGCAGGTGAACCCGGACTGACGCGTGTACCAGAACTGAGGGGATAGGGGTGGGGGCGAGAGGGGACCATGGCAGGGGGCGGGGATAGGGGCGGCGGTGGGCAGAAAGATCTCGGCTGCAAGGGGTCGGCCAGCCAGCACAGGCCGCGTGATCACCGCTGCAGGCACAGCCTGGCACCGTTGTTTGCGTGCATGCGGGGGGCCGGGCGCTGGCCAGCGTCGCGGCAATTTGTTGTTTCTGAAGTCTCACCTCCTGGGGGACGAGAGAAGGCAGCAGCAGAACCGGCAGACGGGGAGCAGCGTAAGGCGCGCGCACGCGCGTGTGTGTGTGTGTGTGACCGCGCGCGCATGCGCGTGTGTGTGTGTGTGTGTGTGCGTGTGCGCGTGTGTGCGTACGTGTGTGCGTGCGTGTGTGCGTGCGTGCGTGCGGCCAGGAGGCAGGGCACGCTTGGAGACGCGAGGCTTTTGCTGTGGCAATCGTCACAGGGTGGGGACTGACGCTCCGCCACGCTGCGCCGTTGGCAACGGTGGGATCCGAGAACCCAGCATTGCCGAGGGTCCACAAGCCCCGTGTGCTGCACCCCCAGCAAGGGGGGTCCACGCACCTCGCAGCCGTGGGGGTCTGTGCAAAGCTCCAGCATGGCGCGGTAGTTGAGGCCGGCGCTCGGCAGCAGCGCCCCCGCGCGGGCGGTGGCGCTGGCCGTGCTGCGGGGCGTCCGGGCGCGAAGGGAGGGGGGGGGCAGGAGCGGGCAATCGCCAGGGCTCGGGTCTGGGGCGCTTGGCTGGGCGGCGACGGCGGAGAATGGCGCGGTGTGGCGGCCCGTCCACGGCCGTGGCGGTTGACACTATGAAATTGCGCACACACCAATGCACGTGACGACACTGCACTGGACCATCGACCCAGCATCGCATACAGCTCGCTGTCCTGTTCAGGGACTGATCACGACAGGCACACCCACCCCACTCCCCTTTGCCTCCCAAACTCACGGGTAGCTCGGCTGCATCATGAACCAGCGCCCCCATGTCTCCGCGGTATTCCCCAGCCCCACCACCCGCGTCGCGATCGCCGCCGTCGCCGACGCGGTGTCGCTGGCGGCGGCCGGGTAGAACGTAAGATACGCGCGAGCCCAGTAAGGTGAGGTGAGGCCGGAGACATCGACCCAGTTGTCAAGCTCCATCCAGGCGCCCGTGGTGGGTGCTTGGGGGCTGTCGAAGAGGGATTGCAGGTGCGTGACGTCGCGGCGGATGGTCCAGGAGGTGCAGGAGGAGGAGGGCTCGGAGGTAGTGCCGTGGAAGAGCTGGGGGGTGAGGGGGGTGCGGGGGTGAGGGGGCGTGGAGGGGCGAGGAGTGGGATTGGTGGAGATGGGTGCATCGTGGGGGTGGCGATTGTGCTGGTGTGCACGCACATGGCTCTTGGAGACGCATATGCCTGAGGGCGCTTGGAGTTGAGGAGTGCAGGGTCTGATGCATTGCCAGCCATACATGCTGCATGCAAGGCTCCTGGCATGGTTGCGCTCAGGGCAACACCAGGCAGCTGGGTCCAGCATCGCCACCCGGTGGCGTGGCGCCGGCTGATCGAGGCAGGGCACGACAGATTTGTTTGGCTTTTTTGGCATTTTTTGGCTGCACGCGCCACAATCTCCCACGCGTAAAGCCCGCCCCGTGGCGCACCGTTGCCCACACCATCCAAGCCCCCACACACAAACACACGCTAAACCCCAAGACACACACGCACACACAAGAACGCCGCCACGACTCATCCACGAGCCCAGCCGCCCACCACCGCGTCGTTGGCCCAGAGCGCCAGGGGCCTGTCGTACTGGTTGCCAGCTGGCGCGCGGAACTCCGCGACCAACTCTATGCGGGCGACGCGCTGGCCGGCGCAGGTGCTTGGAGTGACCACCGGGCCGGTGGTGGTCACCTGCAAAAAGGGAGTCCAGGGTCAGGGTGCAAGGCTGGGGCTGGCACATCACAGATTCCAGAATCTGGGCTCTGAAGTGACGGGCAGTGCGCAGGGGGTTGGGTGGGAGCAAACGAGGGACGGCTGAAGGTGCGCCGCGCGTGCGTGCGTGTCGGGCGTGCGCAGCGGTCATTGGTTACGTTTGAAACCGACCGCGACCCACCCTGGTGTAGTAGCCAGACATTTGGCAGTTGGCCCCCGCCGCCTGGGAACCATTGGTTGGTTGGTTGGTTGGTTGGTTGGTTGGTTGGTTGATTCATTTGTGGGCCGATATAATTTCAACAGAGCCCCGTGCTTTTGGAGGCACTCGCACCAACTTTAAGCTTCCGCCCGACACCACACGGCGCCGCCAGGCGCGGCGCCGCCGCCGGCCGCGCGCGCCTGGCGGGCGCCGGCTTCGGCAGCCGCCAGCGCGCCTCCCCGCGCGGCGCGCGTGCCGGTCAAGTCAACGCACGCACGCAGCCCCCCCGCAAGGGCCCCCACCTGGCACTGGGTGTATGACAAGGGGCCGCTGCCGCCGCCCGGCAGCGTGCCGCTGACTTGCATGTCGGGCCACAGGCTGAAATTCGGGCGGGAACGCGCGCCAGTTGGCGGCGGTGTTGGAGGCCGTCGAGCCGATGAGGTCGGCAGTGCCGCAGGGCGCGGTGGCGGGGACGGGCGTCAGGGAGCCGCGCTGCACGTCTGTGTCCTGG